TAATTTATTTTCTAATATTTTGTAGACATTTTTAAAATTAAAAGCAAATTTTCTTACATTTTAATTTATTTTTTGTTTTATATTTACCGATTTTAAATTAACAGATTATTAACTAACCTGAAAAAAATGTTTCTATATTGTTAAATTTACTTATAATTACTGTTATGTAAGTACTGTTATGTATGTTATATATTCACGACGACACTTTTATTCGAGTAATAATCATGAAAAGTAAATCAAATATCTTTACTTATTTTATTTTAAAAACTTTATATAAAAACAAAAATATATTTAATTTAATTATGTTATTAATATATGATATAGATCACCTGTACTTAGCCCAACTCTTGAACGAAAATGCTATTGTTTAATTAAACATATTAATACTTTTATTTTTTTACTTGCTAAAGCTAAGCAGCTTTTGCATATATTCATGTTGAAAATCACTGATGTATGCTAATATCTATAAAAGAAATAATAGAAACTAAGAACTCAGAGAGCTGAGAATAGACCAGAAAGTCACAAATATAAAACCATAAGAAAACATTAAAAAACAGAAATAAAATCAATAAAAGAAAAATAATTAATTTTTATATAATTACCGAAAAACTTTAATATGCATCATTGATTTTTTATATAAAATATTTTAATTTTGAAACCACTTTTGTATACGGAGCCAGAACCAAATGACCTTTTTCTGGGTCTTTTTATCTGACTGTGAGTCTGATAAAAAAATAAAGTATTATATATTATATTTCTTACTTTAATCGATTTTTTAAGGTTTAACTGGATATCTTTTTTACTTTGAAATTCATATCTCAAGTACCAGAAGAGCTTAAATATACAAAAATTCCATCCGAGAAAGATCGCGACTCACAGATTGGAGGATATTATATTGTAATTATTACATTATATTGTTATACATTCTACAATTACAATATTTTGTAAGTTTCAAACATTCAATTTGTACAATTACAAAATATTTTTCTTCCATTATTCAACATTAAATGCATATTGATTATTAATTACATACAATAAAATTTGTGTAAACTGAAATCAAACATATCGATTTTTTTTCCCCATTTTGATAGATTTCCAGTTTATTCGGATTCTGTTTTTGACAGGTTTTACCGTATTTATAGATTTTAATATTATTGTTAATCTGTTAAATTTTACAAACAAAAATCTAATATTCATAATAGTTTTAATTTTAAACTGTACGTATGCGTACGAATCAAAGGAACAGGGAAAACTCTTCTCTCAAATCCGGGAAAAACACAAGGGAAACACACAAATTTGTGTTTTTATTGGTGTAAAATTTCAAGAAACTAACCCTTTTGTCCCTCTAAACATGTCTAAAATTTGGTATTTACATACCAAATTGTATATAAATTCAGTAAAACCTGTGTAATCTTGACTCTCAAGGTACCGAATTTATTTTTCGGTTTGGCAGGTTTACGTTTTAAACAGGTTTCGGTACGTTCCGAAGAATTTTTTTCTGTTTAGACAAGTATTTTATTTTATTAAGGTTCCGTTTTGAACAAGTTGTAAATTAGAGAGAGAATTATACATAAAACGTTTTGGATTCATGCCATTTTTTCGGTTTTTAAAGTAATAAAGATCTAACTAAATATTTTATAGTAAATATATTTGGGAAATAAACGACAGTTAGATGAATGGTTTATAAAAATAAAATTGGATTGAATTAATAAGTGAAATAACGGATGGCTGACTTTAATATTATTTTATCAACAGATGTTATTTCAGTTGAATTTATTTTTATAACTTTTTATCAAAAAATGCAACATAAGATATTATGACTTTATCTATACTTCTGTGCGGAAATATTGGATTATCATCCGACAGAAAGGTATAAAAACATCTTCAACTCCATATCACTCATATCGCATCATTCACTCAATTCCTGTTTTCATATATTAAAAAATAATAATAATAAATAAAAAATAAAAGAAAATAAAAAAATTGCATTTAGAACATACAAAAACAAATTTGTAGATAATAAAATTAGACTTTTTCTTACGTAAATTATGTGCAGATGCTGCGAATTAAATGATTAGAATATGTTGATAAGTTTAAATGTTGGAAATATGTAATAGCAATGTTATTTAAGTTTATGTTTTGTTGAGTAATAATACAGTAAAACATGTCAAAAACGGAACCTGAATAAAACATAAACCTGTTTAAACGGAAAGAAAATCTTTTGAACAAAACAATGTTTTAAAAACAACCTGTTCAAAACGGAAACTTGCCAAACCGGAAAAAAATATTCGGTATCGTGCAATTCCGTTTTACACAGGTTTTACTGTAATAATTTCAATTAAAATAGAATAAAAACACAATTTTAAATTATTTTAATTAATGACGATTTAATGTAAAATCAAATAATCTTAATGAAATTAAATTTTACAGAAAAGAAGTATTAATCCTGTTTGTAGATATGAAAAAAAAACTAAACATTTATCTATTTTATGTAGTACAAATTGAATTATTCCTTTCTACAATTCAGTGTAGATATTGGATTACTGACTTGGCTTTTCAATAGCAAACTATATTTAGACGAGAAGAATATTAACTAAATTGAAATGTAATGCAAGAAATTGAGCATAAAATACTTTTATTGAAAATATTCCTTTCCAAAAAAAATCGAAGATGAAAAAATACTTTCGTTTTGAAGACTTTTTAAGTCAAATTATATTTATCTTTATTCATTAATTTAATTAGTATTGATATAATAGGATTTATTATTGTTTTTATGTGGATATAATAAGCATTAAATTAATTTATCAAAATAGAGAATTAAATATAAAGGAAATAAGTTTTCTCAATTTATAATTCATAAAATTTATTTCGGAATTTAAAAAGAATAAATAAATTTTAAATTAATAAGAATATACTAAAAATATTCAGCGCAAAATTATTATTAAATATTTATTAATTTTTAAATTATTATAGCTTATCTATGATTTTATTTTTTAAGCTTTATAAGTCATTTATTTATTTTCGAAAAATAATAAATTATAATCATTATTAACATTAAAGAGGCTATTTAGTATGGGCTATATAAATTTTTAGTATTCGAATTTCCGTTCTCAACGAAAAGAGTACATTCTTTAGTACAATATATTAAAACATTTATAACAGTGATGCCAAATCAATGACACTCCCGAAAATCTGAAAAATTGTAATACATTATCTTTAAATTGTATCAAAAAATAAAATAAAATTTTAAGTTAAGAAAGCGTTTATTTTACTTTAACACTCGTATTAATTTAAAATATAAAATTTTAATTGATTGAGTTTCAATGCAAAGTCCACGTGGAAGAATTTATTAATATACTGTACTGTACGAAAGGTTGTTAAAGAAAATAAACGAGAGAGGAATAAAACAATCCGTATGGATAACGAAACAATTAAGAGTTCTGTATAATAAAGGAAACACTAAAAGAAAAAAAATAGAAAAATATCTTCCTATCTTGTCGTTTTTCTTATACCTTCGTCCCTCCAGTGATTGCGTGGATAAAACTACTGAACACTGGTAATAGTTGGTCGCGGGTTCGCACGTGGAGTTTTCCAGGTTTCCTTCCCATGTGTAATATCTAAATAGGGACCATTTTCATATAAAAGTCCTCCAGGGAGCATTTCCCTTGGTAGATCTCCCTCGTGTTGCGTTGCCTTATTTCATTAATCTAATCCAATCTTACACCTTCGAAGCGAAATAAAGTCATAAGGCAAAGTTGGCATTCTCTGTCACAATATGTAAAACTTGTTAAAATCGTTCCTCTGAAAGTGGCAGAATGTAAAAATATATTATTAGTAAAAATAAAAAGTTATAAGGAAAAGAACGTGATACGAAGACCCTCTTTTATTTTTAGTATGTTTCTTCTGTTTTACATAACTTTTAATTGTACTGTATATTCGTTCTGGACTTTTTATTAATGGATATTAAACACTGTTTCTCCAACAGAAATACAGTAATTAATAGAAGGTATAATTTATATTTGTAAAATAAATGGCAAGATAATAATTAATAATCACTGAAAAGTTTAAAAATAAATAAATATCAATTGTACACCGGAACTTCAAAGACCGCATTACGTTGGATTTATACGATTTTGACATCCGTATAATTTTATATTTGACATCACTAGTTAATTGAGATTATAAATTATTCTTTACTTTAAATTCATTTCCTTATTAGATAATAGTTTCGTTCGTAAAATAATCTCACTAATTTTACTTTTAATGAGCAATTCAATTTCTCTTCACTTTTAATTTTATGAAATGATTTAACATTTATTTTCTATATTTTGATTGAATACTTCACATAATATTTAAACATTTACACGAAATAAACAATATTTTAAATTAAAAAAAAATTAAATACAATTTTTTTCTTTTTTAAACGTAATTTTTAAAATGTATATAAATTAGAAGAAGGATTCTATTAGGATGATAAATAATTATAATAAAGGGTGGCCCAGAGTCAATTAACTTATATATATATTTTACTTTAACGGTCCTAAAATAATAGGATATTTAAAAAATATATCTAAGTTAATTAACTTTTAGGCCACCCTGTTTTATTTTACAATATTTTTGTCAATAATAGATCTGTCGTGTAATTAAAAATATTTAAAAATTCGATATAATTTAGTGAGAATATATTTGTGTTAAATTTGAATAATGTACAGTAATTTGCATTTTATTAAAACGAATCACTCTAAGTTTAAAATTACAAACACCATGTGTAATTTTAAAATTGAATTTTAATCTGTACGATCTAAATTCACTAAAAATATTGTAAAACAAATATAAATTTCGATAAAAAAATGTTTTTTCCTATCTGTTGAATTGTAGACAGTAGCAGTAGAGTTAATGCTATCTAAAATTGTAAAATTTACCTTTATATTTACGTAAAACACGGGATTAACATTGTGTTTCAGTTAATAAATAATGCAAGAGATAAACTCATTCACCGATAAACTTTTTACTGTGACATATACACAAACATTTCAACAGTATACATATTTTTTTTTTCCACGTTTGTAAAGATAAAACTACTATACAATTCCATTTCAAATAAAATATACATTGTTTAAAAATCTCTCAAATAAAAACCCTATTACGGCAGTACTATTCTAATGATACATGTGACTTGATATATTTCCTTATCCCATAAACTCTTTATTGGATTTAAACTACTTCATTTAAAAGACTCATTTTCTTTTTTTTTCACTAAAATATAATTGAGCCAGTTTCATATTGAATTTAAATCCTTCGAGTGATTTTTTTCTTTGGTAAGGATGCAATAGATTAAAGTTCCATAAAGTTCTATTGTTCCTATTACCAAATAAAGTTCATCTAATATATTGATATTGCTATCCATTTACACAAACAGGAACAGGTTTGAATGAAGAATGATTAATGGTGCTGCATTTAAAATACCAGACATAATCATACTTCGGAGTGATGTTTACAATAAAAAGAAATTTTTAAAATAGAATATTTCATATATAATTCAGGGATTCACAATCTATAATAGTAAAAGAAAAATATATAAAAATCTTTTTAAATTAAAAACGATTAATTTAAGATAATAATACATTCTCTATTGAACATAATATGAATAAAAATTTCACATATGTTGAGAAGACATAAAATTCTCATCAAAAATAGAAATTCTTAATAATTTAATTTTACAAATGTAATATCGGGTTGGCCGGTTTTCTTCGAATAGTCTCTTTTAAGTTTTAAGTCTCATCTTAGATAAATGGAATTTTGATTAAAAAGAGTTTCTGTTATCTTTCTTTCACATTTTTCATAATGATTGTTACAGTTTAATTTTTTAAAACAAAAGGCAAATAAGGTTTTTTTTTTATCTCTAAGGCCTTTCAATTTATTTCATGCATTCATCATCTATTTTATCCACGTTATTTCAATGATATGTCTAAAATCATTTTATAAATATAAAAGAATATTATTATTATTATTATTATTATTACGGAATCGTTCGTTTTACATTTTCAATATTTTCTTCAGTAATTGAGTTTGATTCATTTATAGTTTGGTCCTCTCGTAAAACGATGAAAACCCCTGGCATAACCCGCATCATCAAAATTTATTTTGAATGCCATAGTTAAAAATAAATCTCTCTTAAATCTTTACTTACTCTAAAAACAATTCTAAATATTTACTTCCATTCTAAACATTGGAAACGTCCTGAATGCAGTCAAAATCATATTTCTCGTTATTCAAAGGAACATATATTTTTTTAAGACATATTTTTTTTTTCAACAAGTTATATGATTTTTTTAAAACATAATATGAGGTATTTTTCTGTGTAAAATGATTCTTTTAACACTCTATATAACAACCTTTGATTGAGATTAGCATAAATCAATTCCCAACAGGCTGGCATATATTTTCTTTTAAATAAAAAAGTTATTTTACAACGTATGTTTATAAATAAAATATCTAATCAACAATATTAACATTGCTGTACATATTTACAATTAAAATGATTGATATATATATATATTATTTAAATGTTCATCTTTTATCACATTAAATTCATTTCACCCTTCAAAATAATTTCAATTATGAAATTAATCCAAACAAAAACCAAGAAATAAAACACTCCTCCATTATGGATGTACTTTTTCTCAATCTTGATCTCCTAATATACATTGATAACAGTGAGATAATATCTAAAACTGCCTGCATATTGATGATTTCGACCAGAAGTGAGATCAAACATCATCTTCTGGTTCTGTCTCTTTAATACAAAACAGGCACTTTTCTAAATCTGTAACTTTATGAGGGATAACTCCATAAAAATCACGGAGATCTTCTGCTGGGAACCACGCTGGTTCTTCATCTGGTAGCAAACGAATGCCGAATACTTGTAATAATGCCACTAAAGGTATCCAAATAGCAGCCATTAATATCAAAATTGCAATCACAATGTTTGCCCAAGTTGGCCATTCTTTAGTAACTGTTGTTGCCTGAAGATTAAAAGAAAAAAAAATTCAAATATTTACAAATGTCTTATTGATATGAACTAAAAGAAGTAATATAAAGGTGTAATATATTACCGTTTCCTTATCCCATGCTTCATAAGTTATATCACCAGTTGCAATTTTTGAAAAACTAGCAATCAGTATAGTAATCATTGTAATCGGTGCCAAATACCGCCAACAAAATAACCAATAGTAACTTGGTCTGTTGCCAGTCATCAGTTCTATATCATCACTAAATCTAAACGCAGAATAATTCGATTAATAAAATTATTTAAATACTTAATTTGTGAAAATTTTTAAACCATTTTTTTTTTACCTTTTCAATCCGTAGACGTATGCTATCGCTATGCATTCAAATAATGCCACAATTAAAAGAGGAAAGTTTCCGCTGAAATTATCAAACAGTGTAAAAATATAATTTCCAGCTCCGTGTGCAAATATAAGCGACAGGAAAAAACACAATAAACAAATTCCACCTGAAAAATATTATTATTATTATTATTTAATTTCAAATTACTTATATATTTAGATGTTTTTTTAAAATATATTATGTGAAATATCAAAAAAAATCTTTAGTTACTTAAAGATATTTATGTTAATTTCTACAAAAAGTTATTTTATTAGCGACAATAAAGAATCAAAGTTGCTATATTAAATAAATTAAAAATATATATAATTCACATTTCCGTAAAATAAACATTTATTATTTTAGAATAAAAACATGTTATATATTCATTAACGTTATTTTAAATTTAAACTAGTTTTTTTTTTTGCATAAATTTGAATTTTCGAGATTTTTTGAAGGTTTTATTTTATTGGTTTGTAGATTAATATACTGTACAGTACTGTACAGAACATTGAGATGCTGATAGTAAGGATAAACTAACCTTAAAGCTATTATAGGAATTTAAAATATTTTTATTCAACCAATATATAAAAGAGGCCTTTAAAAAAGTAAACGACCTTTAGACAGGCCTGACCTCTTACTTTTTGAAAGGCCCTAATGCTGACACGATCTTTATTTTGTTTTATTTACTTTGATCTAAAGAAAAGGCAATGCCATTTAATATGGAAGGCCTACCTCAGAGGATAAATTAACAGATCTATATGGTAAATGCATCTTTAGTTGTGTTATGAAATTTTTAATTATACAGAGTGTTTATAAATGAATGGTGCTATTTTAAAAATTAATAATAAATCTATTTATTACCTTATATGGACAAACCTTACAGCATAAGCAGCGGCAACTATCCAAATTTTTTATGCATTAATCACAATCCTTCAATATGTGCACCCATGGTCACACGACACACATCTACACGGTAATCAAATTCTTCCCAAATGTGGTGTAGCATGTCCTCCGTGATGGTCTGCAGTGCATGACAAGCAAGAGCCGGTAGCGCATAAAAAACTTGGACAGTTGCCGCTGCTTATGCTGTAAGGTTTGCCCATATAAGGTAATAAATGGATTTATTATTAATTTTTAAAACCCTCCATTCATTTATAAACACCCTGTATTATTTCTGTTTTTGTATTAAACCAACGATGAAAACTTAAAAATTAAAAAAATGCAACATGATTAGATGAAGTAAGTTAAGCTTGTAACATTAAATTTAAAATACATGTATTAATTTTAACTTTTCTCAGCATTTTTAAATCTATGTCTTGAAAATAAAAGTATATTCAAATCTTACATAAACCAAAAATTATATGAAAATTTTGCAATTTTTTACGTTACAATATATTACAATTATTAATATAATATACATCTATCACTGTATTATTCTGCTTAATAATTTTTATTACATTAACCTATGAATTACTAAAATTAAAATTTATATCATTAAAAGGTGAAACAAATGTAATAAAGATGACAATTTGCAGGTGTTTTTAAATTACAGAAACCACTTTAATTAAACACAATTCACCATAGATTAATTTAAACAGCTTTAAATATGAATAAAGATATTAATTTTCTTATTAATTTTTCTAACAAAAGTCTTTGAAATTGTCTTATTTAATTAGTTTTGCAAGAATCATAATATTGCATTATAAATGGTAAAATATCAATTGTTTTAAATAGGCAATTTCTTAAATCTCGTGAATTATGCATATAAAAATTCATAAATGCTTTACAGTAGAGCCTCGATTATCCGACCTTCGATTAACCGACACCTCGGTTAACCCACCGTCCTAGTCGGCAAGTTTCAAATGGCTAGTGATGTGGCGCTAATATATTTGGCTAGGTCTTGGCTACTTTAATATTATTTTTACGTGTTTTAGCTGGCAAAACTCATTCGACCATGAAAGGGAGCCAGTATTTAAACGAGGCTTAATTTTCTAATTTTTAACGATACAATAGCGACGATTATTATTTTTAAAAATTTTTGTTAGGCTTAACATCGATGAAAATTCAACGCGAAGTAGGTTAATAGCGATGTACTAATATACTAATTACATGGGATATAACAATATACTACACTAATAATGGATTTTTTCATACTTTTTGGTTATCCGACTTTTCAATTATCCGACCAACCCCAGTCCCCAATTGGGTCGGATAATCGAGGCTCTACTGTAGTTAGGTATGAAAATTTATGTTAATTTTCCTAAATAAATTAAGACTTATGGTACAGCAATACTTTATGGTTTTACAAAGTATATACAATACTTTATGGTTTATCGAAAGGTAATGTATATAAATTACTTTAAATGCCTTAATTATTAAGGCATTTAAAGTAATTTATATACATTACCTTTCGATATAATAATTCCTATTATAATTTTCCTATTCAACACAATATAAAGCTTCTATTATAGATTAATGATGTATGTTTTAAGATTTCAAAAGAGTATTTTCACTTATAAGACTTTTCCCCTGAAAGTAGTTAATAGATGACCGGCACGACTGTATTGTTGAAGGAAAAGTATGATGTACAGGGGCAAAACACTACTAATAATTTGAGGTGGAGAGCATATATTTTAAATTAAATAAATTAAAAATATGATTAAAAATTGCAGCTCGGCATTATGAGGATGTCACAATAAATAATTGCTCGTTGTAAAATAGAAACTTACAATAGGAATTATATAGAAATTACTTTTTATAAAGAATCAATTTAATAATAAGTTCCCAATGAATCAAATAGTATTAGTTTTTCTTTTCTATCAATATAGCTACCAATTTGGCTATTAATGAGGACTTATCGCACCACAATAGCACCTGAAGAGGGGTCAGAAGTACAGTACAGTACATTTGAATTTACAGTAGAGCATCAATTATCCGACCCCCGATTAACCGTCACATCGGTTAACCGACCGCTCTAGTCGGCAAATTTCAAATGTCTGCTAGTGATGTGGCACTACAATATTTGGCTATGTTTTGGCTACTTTAATATTATTTTTGCGTGTTTTAGCTGGCAACACGGCTCGACCATTGAAGGGAGGCCAGTATTTAAACGAGACTTAATTTTCTAATTATGAATGGTTGTTTGTTTTGTGAGCAATAAAATAATTTTAAAATGATTTTTAACGATACAATAGCAACGATTATTATTTAAAAAAAATTTTGTTAGGCTTAACATCGATGAAAATTCAACGCGAAGTTGGTTAATAGCGATATACTAATATACTAATTACATGGGATATACTAATATACTATACTAATAATGTATTTTTTTCATTTTTTTCGGTTATCCGATTTTTTCAGTTATCCGACCAACTTGAGTCCCCAATTGAGTCGGATAATCGATGCTATACTGTAATTAAAGGAGTAAAGAACTTTTAATCTGGTCATCTTTTTGATTGTGGTGTGATAAGTCTTCATTAATAGCCGAATTGTTATCTATATTGATAGATGAGGAAAAAATATAATAATCAAAGAAAGTGAAACATTTTTATAATAACTAGTATTATAATTAAATACTGTATTAATAAAAATTGCTAAAACCTTAGTTTTCTATTGCGTTTAATATTTTAATTAACTACAAATATTTTCATATTTATATTAATTGTGAAAGCTGCCATCTCGACGTTTGTTCCATATTTTTGTAGGTAAGATCCAATTGAATTGGCATACTTTAATTTTCAGTGGAAAAAAAATAAGAATATGTTTTTTAACAGTATTTTTTAAATATCTTTCTCGTTAAATTCTTATAATCTGGATTTTAAACAACTTCCGCTTCATTATTATTTCCATGCTTTAAAATTCAAGGGTGGATCCAGAAGAGATGATTGATGTAATTATCATATATTAAGTTATAATTATTTTCATCAGAAACTCTTAACTTCATGCATTCAGTTACTTTTTTAAAACTTTGTTAAAGATTTACTCTTTTAAAAATTTAATTTTGGTATTAAAAAAATAATAATAAGAAAGTTACTATAAAATAGCTCTTGCTAGAATTCCTAAATTAAACTCGTTCTTATCAAAAGATTATAAAAGAAATAAAGAGAATAATATTAAAAAAGATGAGAAATATTACACACTTTATAGTCCACATTGCACATATTAATTTAATGTACATTTTATTAGAATATACATTAAATTAATAAGTGCAGTTTCTTCTTAACTTTTTACTTTTTTAATACAGAATTCTTAGATTTATGTTTAAAGCTTAAAGCTCGTCTCAAGCGACTTTTTAAATAAACAAATCTTTTTGGATTTAATTTTTAAAATTACTTCTTTCAAAATATTACTTATTAATGTATGAATTCTGCATTAAATGTTACACTATGTGCATTCTTATAAAATCAGAAAAGAAAATTTTGTATTCTCTATTCAGTTTTATGCATAATTTAAAATGTTCCATACTAAAGTAAATACATTATACTGTATTACAAAAAAAAGTACTTAGACAAATTCCTGATTGAAATTTAGAAGTACTTAAGCGTACTCTTTCATATATTTTAATTTAATAAATATATGACTAGCAGATATGCTGTGCAAGGACAAACATTAAAAAATATAAAAAATCTTATTAAAAGTTTGGTTATTTTAGCCTACTGTTGTTATCTTTATCAAGAAGTGTCATGACAACGGGATAAATTCAGGGGATGAGTGGAATGTCGAGCTTTTATTGTAGCTCATATTTTCGCAGGGCTTACAGAGTAAGTGGAAATTTGGTTCAGACTGGAATGCGTATAGAGAACGAACAGACATTTTATTTTGTGTACATGGAAAAAAAAATTATTTGTTATTGTTACTTTAATAAAAGAACAATAAATCTGATAAATCGAAATGAATTATTACAGTATTTTTCGGCTGATATAATAAAATTTTGTTGTAAAATGAGCTTAAAAATTAAAGATAAATATCTTTTAGACTTAAAAAGATATTTTGTTGTGCTATATTTATTCGATTGGTATATAAGAGAAAAATATATTAAAATTAAAGAATTCATTTACAATATATGATTATATTTTTACATTATGAAACTATTTGTATAAGGCTTACAGGATTAACCAGACATTTTATTATTTAATTCTAATTTGTGAAGTTTTTACACAAAGACATTACTTGTCATTTGAAATCATTGTAAATCTAAAAATTAATGACAAAATTGAAATAATAAACATTAAACTAGCTAAAGAAAACTGCTTTTATCTTATTAGAATATTACGCTTTAATAGAAAAAAATAATAATAATAACAGTTTCGTTAAGAATAGCATTATAACAGAGTTACAGTCCCTTAAAATGTTTACGTTATCCTGACACTTCCATGCAGATCCTTTAGTTCATGTTAGGAAAGATACTTTACAGGCTTATAAGCACTATTATTTTTCAGTTAGTTACTGCCTATTATAGCCGCCTTATTTGTTGCAACTATTGTTAAACGAAATCTGTTTTACAATACAATATCATATTATTTTAGTTTCACATACAGAATATTATCAGTAAAACTAATGCATAACAATAGTTTTAGCATTTCTGACGTAAGAAAACGACGATTAATAGCAAAGAGAAAGCACTATCTCTGAGGTAATATACACTTTCATTTTGACTCAAGTAGACAATACATGATCTATAAGTATTATATTTTTAGATCTGTAACTTCAAGTACTTTCTACTCTTAAAAAAGTTTTTCTTTTTTTGTTTCTGCTCTAAATAAATGATGAAAAATGACTTTCTAATGGAAAAATCAGTTTTACTTGACAAATTTAAACGTAAGAAATTTGTCCATTGATCTTATTTTTGTCACAATAAACTAAATCTAGTTTTCAAACTACAATATCCTTAAAATGTCACTTAAACCAAAATTATTCGAACAAAAGTTTTGTTAAATTAATTATTTTGCACCATTTTATAAAGACATAATGCAGTATATATTGTTAATCTAAAAATAAAATAATGATAAACTTTTATGTAACCACTTCTATAATTCTATTTAGATCAAATTCAAAGGCATGATAATATAAAATAAAGTTTTTCTGCTAGTTTTAGTTTAACTGTATAATTAATTGTCAACTTATATCGAGAAAACTCATATAAATGTTGTTTAGTTTTAATCTGCTTAGATTAAAACTAAATTATTCAAAAATAAATAAATATAAATTTAAATATTTTAATGTTTAATTGTTACTTTATGTAGGCCTAATTATTACTACTACTACTACTATGTAACATTTCTCAAAAATTAATTAATAAATTTCTCAACAAATTTTGTAGTTTTATACTTTCTGATCTACTCTATCTACTCAATATGCTACCGAGACAATGTCTCTTCTTTTTTATTCTCTCTCTCATCCCTTTATTATCTTCTTTTTTTTATCCTACATCCTTGAGTAGGCTGTATCCCTTAATAATAGCTATAAGTTTTCACTATACAATACAAGATACGTTTATATTAAAAGATCCGAATAAAATAAACATTATCTTATTTACCTATCACATCTATTACCATACACCGATAATAAAATAAATGGAGATAAATGTATATCTAGTATATTTATATAAATAACAAATGTATTTAGCTGTTTACGTATTTACACAGGAGTAGATTTCATCCTTATTATTCATTATTAAAATTATTATAAATTATTAAATATAAAGCTGTTACTTATTATACGTACTGTACATATAGTAATATAGGAAAATAAATTAAACTGTAATAGTTTACAAGACATTAATAAGTTTATAAAAAAATTAAGATGTTATATTCTAAAAATAATAACATTATTAATTAATTTTTAAATATTAACAAGAGAGTTATGCGGGTGATCTATGTAACTCCGTTCCTGGGAAAATATTTGAATAGAAATCACGTAACTTCCGGTCTATATCGGAAGTTACATATACAGTTACTTGAACATCCTGTTCCTAAGCTTTCCATATCTGGTCTCGGCTTTCATCTAAAACCATTCTCGGGATTAAAGAAGAATAGACAGATAATAGTGAAAATTTATAGCCAAATAAAAATTATAATTATAATTTACAAAACATATCAAAGAAATTAATAAGTAGGCCTAGTCTATATTAAGATTATTAAAATATTTATTGTTAAATAATAAATAATTTTTCTATCGTAAATCTTATTCCAGATTAATTTTATAAACCAACCTGTTAAAAATTCTTTCCGCAAATTTGGAAATAATTTCAAGTCAACAATAGAGGTTATGACGCCTTCGAGAGTACCAAATTGAGAATCGATCCCCAAAGTAAACAGCATAAGAAAAAATAAAACTGACCAGAACGGTGCACCAGGAAATTGTATGATGGCTTCCGTAAATGCTATAAAAGCCAATCCTGTACCAGAGGCACTCTATAATTATTAATTTTTAAAAAATATTAGCAATAATTAAATAAAAATAATAATTACAATTTGTATAATTTTAATGAATTCTTACTTTTTCTAATTCAGTCTGTAAATTACAATCGGGAAAATCATATGGCATATTTTCAGATTTATTTAATATTTTATCCACAATATAAGGTGGAATTGTAGAAGGAATAAACTGTGTTCCGTTATAAAATGATGAAAATATATCATCTCTTTCTTCTATACATTTTTTATGAGTCATATGAGCTTTAAATCCTATAAGAGAATTTTTATTAAGTTTGTTTCTAAATTCGATCAAATTTGAAATTTATTTCTTAAAATATAAACTCGACTAAATTATAAATTTTAAAAGTCGGTAATCGATTAGTATCTTCGTCTTATCCAATATATGCAATTTTGTCATTAATATTTTAAACTTTTTCTATTGTTGTTGACATCATATATTTACAAAATGACATTTTTAACTCATAAAAAGGAAAGAAAAGAAACCGTNAAATTTATCTCCAGCTTAATTCTGATAGTTAACTTTAGCATAAATATGAATTAACTGATTATAACGTAGAATCATATCCATTAAGTTGATTATTATTTACGACATAATTTAGACTATTAATATTATTATTATCATCAGCATAATTAGCAACATCACTATAAGATATTTAAAACAATTTTAAAACATTTAATTTCAATATTGCATTAATATCTCACTTCATAATATTAATTTTCTCTTAAGACAAATGTGTTACAGATACAGTACTATTCTGTGTGGTAACAGACATTATCTTACAGAATATTAATCTAATAAAAAATGCAATATTTCAAAGAATGTGATATAAAACTTTCATCCACTCGTCTCTTCAATTGTAAATGTAATTTGGCGTAGATATGAGGGGAGGATAATGGCTATATGAAAGGTTAAATTACGAGAGGATATTATCTTATCTATAATTATTGCAAGCGTTTAAAATGACGATATACAGGTATATTAAGTATTCAATCTACTTTATATTTTATAAAGGACAATAAGAAAATAGCTAATCATTAAAATCTTCAAGATGAAAAACTTTAACTAAGCAGATATTTATGTATCTAATATAAAAAGAGGTTTATTGATATTTATAAAAATCGGAATTTTAATTATATTAAACACTTTTATAATAATATTAAAATCTATGTTTAATGATTATTACATATAAAAAGTCATTATATTTTAATATATAACAATAAAAAAACTGATTGATCATTTTAAAATTTAATAATATTATTAATATAATAAATTTAAACTATGGATTATGAACTTAGAGATGTCAAGAAAATCTTTATGAGATTTGCCACATTCTTGTCTTATTCATTAATAAACAAGAAAAATTAATGAAATTATAATCCAAATAATTAAAGCTCGGTTCGTGTATTAACTTTTATTGATCTTAATTTAATCAAATTTAATTTAATCAAGACCAATGCTTTTGTAATGAAATATTAAGAGTAGAAGTGATTCCAACAAAATTAAAAACATTAGATTTAGATTCGTGTCAACGTAAGTCACTCGAATTAAATGCTCATATTAAATTGGATGCATTAAATTACTTCTAAAGTATTAATTGATTTTAATTTTTAGTTTATGTTTATTTAATTTAATACATTAAATTTAATATAAAAATAATCTAATTAAAAGAGTTTAAAAGTTATTTATAATAGAGGCTTACCTAAAACTGAGAATACAACAATACCAGCGAACATAGATGTTCCACAGTTAGTAAGAGAAACCAATATAGCATCCCTCAAGCAGTTATTGTGTACAGGATTATAGGAAGAAAATGCTATAAGTCCACCAAAAGCGAGACCAAGAGAAAAAAATATCTGAGTTCCTGCTTCCAACCATACAACCGGATCTTGTAGTTTGGACCACTTTTAAATAAAAAGTATATTTATCAAGATATCAGACGATTTTTAATAGTGTTTCATTGGAAAAAAATAAAATAAAATTTGAAATTTGATAAATAAATTACTTTAATAGCTTGAATTAAATTTGTAATATTATTAGCAGTTTAATTTATCTAATTGGCGCTTCTCATATTAACTAAATTATTACTTTAATTAATGTAACCATTTTTTAAATCTCGTAACATGAATTATCATAATTTATAGAAAGAAAAATAGAAGATAAACTCTTGTTTACAGATCTATGTAACTCCGTTCCTGGGAAAATATTTGAATAGAAATCACGTAACTTCCGGTCTATATCGGAAGTTACATATACAGTTACTTGAACATCCTGTTCCTAAGCTTTCCATATCTGGTCTCGGCTTTCATCTAAAACCATTCTCGGGATTAAAGAAGAATAGACAGATAATAGTGAAAATTTATAGCCAAATAAAAATTATAATTATAATTTACAAAACATATCAAAGAAATTAATAAGTAGGCCTAGTCTATATTAAGATTATTAAAATATTTATTGTTAAATAATAAATAATTTTTCTATCGTAAATCTTATTCCAGATTAATTTTATAAACCAACCTGTTAAAAATTCTTTCCGCAAATTTGGAAATAATTTCAAGTCAACAATAGAGGTTATGACGCCTTCGAGAGTACCAAATTGAGAATCGATCCCCAAAGTAAACAGCATAAGAANAAATAAACAGAATTATATGAATAAATATAATTAATCCTGTTTATCGCAAAATACAGACTTTCAAACATTTTATCAAAATTGCTTTTCTTTTGTATGAGTTAATCGTTTAAAGAATGTGAATTGATAGCTTTTAACTGAATAAAGAAGTAATGCAACGAGCTATATTTTTTTAAATATCGAAATAAAAAATATTAATAATTACATAAAATTTTAATTTTAATAAAGCCTTATTTTTCAACATTATTTTCTATGCTAATTTGCTAAATAAATATAAAATAAATAATTAATTTTGATTTTTTTTCTTTATTTATTCTATTTATAAATAGCGAACGAACAAAAATTTTTAAAAAGTTTAGCTTTTAATTTAACAATTTAATATTATTACATTCCATTTCTATCTTTAAACGACGTAAATTTAATGAAAAGCGATACATTTAGTCAATCAACGTTTATCACCTTTTTATAGCATCATTAACACAACATTTATTTTATAGCTACAAACAATTACAAGAAAAATTTTACAAAAAAATACAATAAAATTTCTTTTATTATTATACAATATTTTGTTATAGAATAATCTTACGTTTGGAGTAAAAAGATGAACGATTCCATCTTTCATCCCTTCCAACGTGATCCCACGAAAAAAGAAAATTATTAATACGAGGTAGGGGAAAGTTGCTGTGACATAAACCACCTAAATTGAAAAAAATAGAATAAAATATCAAGATATAAGCTCTTATCTTCATATTTAAATTATAAAAAAAGTTAATAATTACCTTCCCAGAAGAAGCAATACCTTTGATCATACATAAGTAACATAAAATCCACGACACTAATAAACACAATGCAATTTTCCAATTGAACTTATCAGGGTGATTGATATCTTGACTGACGTCTAACGTTTGTCTGTACCAGAAATATTGTGTAATGCTGCTTTTCTAATAAAGAAAAAAGAAACATTTAAGTGTCCAATTCACCGAAAAATAAGTATAAAAACCTGAAAATATATTATAAAATAAAATATTCGTTTATAGTATGAGCACGTTCAAAAATATTTTTCTGGATAATACACTAAAACCATTAGACGATTTCTATAAATATAAGCGTTGATTGTCGTTACAAAATACAATAATTAAGCGATAAATAAATGAATTATGGAGTTGATCAACTTTCAAGGCACAGGAAATTTGATTATAATATAAAACTTAATTATAATGTAAATAGAACGAACTGCATTCAGTTTAAAGTTTTCAATTATATTTTCTAACGAATATTTTAAACAATTTGTAAAGCGTAAAAGTTTCATTTAGACTGCGATTGCTAAATACATTTCTATTGTTTCATTTAAATTAGAATTGAGAACGTTAACGAAATTACAGGATTTCATGGAAGTTCTTCGTTGGATATTTACTGATAACCAAACAGATTCGCAGCATGAATGTTGTTTTCATAAATTTTCTTGATGGTGTTTGCTTCTTATAAGGTTACGTTAACTTCATTTAAATCGATATTTATTTTTATATATACATATTTTTTTATTACAGTGCTTCAGATAATGCTAATGGCAGTCATTGAAAGACAGGTTAGTACGCATGTCCATTGCTTTCCATTAGCGAACACGTTGATAGGCTACGGTCTGCTGATCATTTATCTGCCTGGCAGTAGTGTAGAGTGGATGTTAGGCACATTAATCTTCCACATCATCATCGACCCGTTTCCGTCATTCTTTATCGTTCTGACAAATCTGGAGAATCTTTTTCCACACGACGTTATAAAGTCATCTTCCAATGCATTCTCATTATAATAATTTGAGCATCGTTTACAAATAAATCTACCAAATCTTAACCGTCCTCCACGCCATTAATTTAAATGTAAAGGTTTAACCTTAAAAAACAACCGAAGTTTATTTTCTATAATGACTTTTCGTAACGTAATCAAACTACAATAATGTGATATTTAATGAATTTTAAAGTTTGGTATTTTGAAAAGATTTTTAATTATTTTAAAAGAATGTTTTTTTTTTTAATTCAGTTTTAATGGTTGTGCGCTTAAATTTCATGCGACTTTTTACTAAATTATCACATTTTTCATGGAAGAAAAATTAATCATTTACTTTTACATATGTAATATTTACGTTTATCCTAAGTAATAATATATAGTCTAATAAAGTTTATGGTAAGAACTAAATAAATAAAAATTATTAATCTATTATTATTTTTATATTAAAAATTAATTTAAAATTCACTATAAATCCGTTGGATTTATGTGACTTAACACTATAGAAATGAAGGAAGAAATTCGATCATCAGGAATATGAAAAAAAAAGAAGTCCCCTGCGCTATTTATAGAGTTTCCTTCTCACATTAAAATTGTATTTTTGAAAAATATTCAAGATGTATAAATTTATAAACTTTCGATTTTTATATTTATATTTATCTTATATGAATATATAGCAAAATATACAGCATATAGGTATAATAACATTCCCATTGTTATTTTCAATAATTCGGAATAAAGTTGTCTCAGAATATTACATAATTTGAAATTAAAATAACTTAATTAAATAATTTGCTATTTCGATATTCCTTTGAATTGGTATACGTAAAGGTTTAATGTGTAGGATGTATTAATATTCAACACTTCCTTTGTTCCTATTGGTTTGTTTCTGTAGATGTGGCGGAGCTATCTTCTGCTTTATCGATCTAAGGTTAAACTCTCCAATAGCCTTCAATTTCCTTTACCTTCAATCTTTCATTGAATATTTCATAGTATATCTATGCTATATATAATATTATATATATATTTTTCCCTCCATCAATCAATATTTCAATTACTTATAAATGCTATTAAATTGGGAATTATTTCGAGACCTGAAAAAAGTAAAAAAAAAATCGATAATATTTATTACTTAATACTCGGAAGACCTTCAATAAAATGTTTCACGTGATAAATTTTAAGAATTTTAAAATTAATTGAATAAATTATTCAATAAATTCGTTAGTTAGTTATAGTTTTTCTGTTATACATTCATTCGTAGCATTCAATCACCTATTCATTGATAGCGATTTATTCTTTGAACCGAGTATAATGTTATTGTATTTTATAATATATTCATTTAAAAAATTTAAATTGTAAATTAAGTTTTTAAAAAGTTAAATCTTTATTATATATTTTAACCTATTAATGAATATTATTAATTCCTGAATATTAAAGTGCAAAATCTTAGATTTCAAAAGTGTAAAATTTAATCTCGAAAATATTTTTATTTTAAACTTCTTTTATTAGATTTAAATCACCACAATTTATAATTATAAAAAGCAAGAAACTTACAAAACATTAAGTATAAAACTCAATAGAAAAGTCACCTTTTCTATGGAACTAGTTAAATGAAATGCCAAAGAAAGTTTTTTTGGCACGAAAATTTGATTTTTTAATTATTTTTAACGATAAATATCAAAGATATATTTAAAAATTTGGCACACAAAAGTACAATTATTCTTAACTTTATTTTAGTTAGGAAATTGAGATGATTGTCAAATATCAAAATAGAAATTTATAATGAAAATAAATAGGTCAAATACTTAAAAATAATAAATTAAGCATTATATATATATAATTAAAAAATGAATATGCTGTATTATTGGAAAAAAAACAAATTTATAAAGAATTATTTATTTAGTTGTTGCTATTTTTAAATTGTATTCTCTTGGTCAGTATTTTACAACGAAGTTAAATTAGTTGTTTAAGCCTGCAATATATAGGGTATGTTTGCTGAGTAAACTTAATCTACAGACAGATTTAGAGATAAATCATCGTCAATGTATACAAAGGGAAGTTCTGTGGTTTCAGATACAACTATGACTTGGGAGAGAAGATTATTTCTTAATACATATTTATGTAGGGTATTCATGGTTCAGCAAAATAAATCAAACTTTCGTAATTTTGACTTTAATTGTTCTGCTATGGAAATGAAATTGTGTTATAAGTACAGATTTGTAATATTTTTTTCAGAACTTTTAACTAATTTTATATTAATGGTTTATATTATTCTACATAAACGTTTCTATATGCACATGTAAGAATATTTCAAAAAGTTGATATTTTGTAGATTAAAAGCCAATACAGTTTCGAAATTGATGATGAATCAAATTTATTTTATAGAAAAATTTATATATTAATGTAAAAAATTATTTAAAATTGAACTTATAAAAGACAATACTGTAATTTAATTAAATCAGAGTTTCTGTGTTTGAACATTATAAATAATTAAATGAATAAAAACAATTTTATCCTTTATCAAATTAAAATTTTATTTAGTTTTATTATTAAAACCTTTAAACTCACAGCAAAGTATTATAATTTATTATTTATTTAACATTAATAAACTTTTTGATATAAATTCTTTAGAGTATTTAATCTTTACTTTTTAGTAAATTAAAAATTAATAAATATTATATCAGAACATTTTTGTGTCTTTTAAATTAACTTTATTAAATTAATGAAATTATTATTTTATTAAAAAGTCACGAAAACATTTAATATATATACAGTAATTTACAGCAATACACATACAGGCAATAATATACAGTAATTTTCAGCTATTATCTTTGATTCTATTGAACAAAACTATACTCAAAGTAACTTATAATTAATGCTAATTATTTTAATTTTAATTAATTCAAATTAAATTTTGAAAATTATTATTATTATAGCAAACAAAATTAAACAAATTGATACATTTTAAAACATTTAATTATAATTTATTATTTTGAAAACTGTTTCAAAATTAATATTGATTTGTATTTTATTGTGATATATCTTAATTTATCTGGGGTATCGAGGAAGAAAGTGGGGTATTGAAGTTTTATGGTAACCTGTATTTTTCGCAGGGTCCTGGATAGTAACTGTAAAGAATTAGTAGAGATCGGCTAAAGGGTTTAGGAGTTAATAGGGGGATGAAATCAAGGAAGGGATGGGGTATCGAGGTTTTATTGTAGCCCACATGATCACACATGATCTTAAAGAATATGTAAGAAAATTTAGGCGCAGATCAGTTAAAGGGTTTAGAAGTGTATACAGTAGGAACAGACTGACATTCTATTTTTTTACATATAGATTTATCTCTATTAATGTAAGAGCTTTTTTTATATTTATTCAATGTAATATTAAGTTTTATTTAAACTTACTAAATAAATTATGAATTATTATAACTTAATTATAATTATCTTACGTTTTAGTGTTAATTTTTATATTATGAAAGTTTAAATATTTCTTTCTTTGTTCAATAATTTAATTTCCATCGAGGAATAAACGTTGATAAGTTCCATCACATAACCTAGTTTATCTTTAAGTTATAATAAAAAAAAGTAAAAGTTTATCCAGGGCCAGATTTACACATAAGCTAAACAAACAACAGCTTAAACCTCGCCTTATAAGTCTATTATACTCTACTGATTAGGGCCTTACAGTTTTACAGGTGTCATTTTTTTGGTAGAGGGGAGGGGTGTGTAATTTGTTCTAGATTAGACCACACCAAGTCTAAGTCCAACACTGAATCTATCTAAAAGATTATATTAAATTTAAAAATTTAAACTCAATAGAGCTTTTAAGTATAATAAAAAATATAATTTTATTTCGAATATTTTATTACAAAATTAAAAACTTGCCCACGACTATTATTGTACTGTACTGTACAGTACATAAATATATAATATATCAACAAAATATTATATAATTACCCATTAAATTTAAAATAAAGAACTTTTTAAAAACAAAATTATGCCATAAAAATCAGATTAATGATTAATTAAATATTATTTAAATGATGCTTAATTAGATTTAATAAATATTTTTGTATGTTTAAAAATTACTTAAAAGACTGATATAATTATAATCTATAATTCTCTTTTAATGAAAATATTTAAAACAAAATTTTTTT